TTTCCAACAAGCGGGCCTGGCCTAGGGAGGATTTTAAATTGGGTTTTTTAGAAAATTTTAATACCACAACTCTAAAATATTTGGTTTTAATTTGGTTTTATTAGGCGGGGATTATGGGTATGTTTTGTTTTAAATATGTTGTGAGCCGCCCTGAGTCCCGTTGGGAGAAGGGCGGGATATAAATCAAATAAAATAAAAAAATAAATAAAATAAATAATTGTTCTAACTGTCAGAAAATTTCTCCTTAGTTCTAGGTTGCTTCTCTCCTTATCTAGTTTCCATCCGTTGCTTCTTGTCCTGCCTTCAGGCGCTTTGGAGAATAGCTTGACTCCCTCTTCTTTGGGGCAACCCCTGAGATATTGGAACGCTGCTATCATGTCCCCCCTCGTCCTTCTCTTCATTAAACTAGACATACCCAATTCCAGCAACCGTTCCTTATATGTTTTATTCTCCAGCCCTGATCATCTTTGTTGCTCTTCTCTGTACTCTTTCTAGAGTCTCAACATCTTTTTTACATCGTGGTGACCAAAACTGGATGCAGTATTCCAGGTGTGGCCTTACCAAGGCCTTGTAAAGTGGTATTAACACTTCGCGTGATCATTATCAAGGGTAGAGGACAAAAAGCATCCGTAGATTTGCTATATTGTTTAGACCAGGGTCCCCAACCCCTGGTCCATGAACCAGCACCAGGCGACATGCCAGCAACCAGGCCGCAGAAACAAGTGAAGCCCCATCCACAGGATGCAGGCAGCATGCAAAACCATGCCCCCTCCAGTCCGTGGAAAAACCTTCCTCCATGGAATCGGTCCCTGGTGCCCAAGAGGTTGGGGGCCACTGGTTTAGACTGAACAGGGACAGGAAAGAAGTGTACAAGTAGTCCTTGACTTATGACCACAACTGAGCCCAAAATTTCTGGTGCTAAGTGAGGCATTAGTTAAAATGAATTTTAGCCCATTTTACGACCTTTCTTGCCTCTGCAGTTGTTAAGTTAGTAACACAGCAGTTAAGTGAATCTGGCTTCCCCCCACCCGACTTTGCTTGTCGCAAAAGAGGGCCACAGGACCCCAGGACACTGTAACTGTCATAAATAGGAGCCAGTTGCCAAGCGTCCAAATTTGGCCATGAGGATGTTGCAACGGCCGTGTGAAAAATGGCCGTAAGCCACTTTTTTCAGTGCCATTGTAACTTTGAACGGTCAAGTGTGGTAGGTCGAGGACTACCTGTATGTTCTTTTATTCGTATATAGCCCCTTGGGTGCAAATATGCAACCGGAAGACAGGATATCAATTTAACCAGTGATAAAATGCAGGAATCTTCAAACTTGGCCCTTTTATGACTTGTGGACTTCAACTCCCAGAATTCCTCAGCCAGTCCACAAGTCATAAAAGCGCCAAGTTTGAAGACCTCTGATAAAATGAGACCCATTATTGCTGCCTTTAATAGAAGAATTTAGCCAACTAATGAGGTCTCTTATGGCAACACAAGGATTCCAAACCGATGACATGTTTAACCCCACCTTCCACTTCAGCCTGTCCTTCTACACCAGACATGTCAAACACAAGGCCCGGGGGCTGGATGCGGCCCGCGAAGTGGTTTCATGTGGCCCGCGAAGCCAACCTAGAAACTGTGAGGGAACGGCCCCCCTCTGCCTTGGCCCTGGCCCAGGCCAGCCGGGAGCCAATGTACAATTTTGTGGTGGCCATCCATGCTGAAACGTATTCAGTCTTAGCTCCATAAGCCCCTCCCCCCATGGCCTGAGAGGAACAGTGAGGCTCCTCCAGTGGACCATGCCTTGGGACTTGCCCTGGTCCCACCCCCGTCGGCCAGAGACCCTCAGATCTATCCCACTCCTGCCCAGGCCCCCACAGGCACCCTTGACGCGAACGATGTAGAGCTGGCCACACCCACCCAGTAGGCCACACCCACTCCATCCACGCCCACCCAGTAGGCCGCATCCACCCTGGCCACACCCACCCGGCCCTCTGAGGGCAACCGCAATGCTGATGCGGCCCTCAATGAAATTGAGCTTGACACCCCTGTTCTACACCTACCACCCTCTCGACTTACCTCGCCCAAAGATTTCTCCTTGATATTTTTCAGTCGGAGTATTTTCTTGAAAGCCATTGTAAGGATAGCTCCACGCAGCCTGACCCCAGTGCGATAGTTTAAAGCCCATGTTAGCGCCAAAGACCAGGAACGCACTATTTCCGTTATTAAGAGGCCAAAAAGTAACAACAGGCTGTATTGCAGGTTGGGTTCCGTTTGCTGAGTGTATTCGAGGAGCTGTTTCACCATAAAGGCCTACAGGGAGAAAGGCAACACTGCATGAACATCCTAGCGTGTCAGAGGAACCATTCAATTGTTTTTCTTTTTTATGTTAAGTTAGAAAAAAGGAGCTGTTTTGACTTTCAGGTAGGAATTTTTATCATTAATCGGAAGGCTTCCGAGAGGTAAGAGCTGCAGTTATTGCAGCCTGCTGAATCTCCAAAAGGGAATCAAACGTATCAGGCAATGCGGAATAATTTGAAATTGTCCAATTCTTTATGCCGCCCCCGTTGCCGCTCCTTCATACATTGTCTAACTTAACATAAGCCTGAGAGAGTTAGCTGAAACAATTTATCATCGCTGTCAATTTTACAATAAGGTGTACTTTATGCAAAAACTGAGCATATTACAAACATCAGACCTTTTTTTTTAATTCTTTCTTTCAAACGTGCTTATTTGAGAAAAAGGAACAAATGTACCTACAGTTGAACTGGGGAAGAGGAGTGTGAGAAGGACATTTTGCAAAACATTCCTGAAAATTAAACATCGGCAGTTTAAAAGTAAAGAAAAGGACAAGCAGGAAAAGAAAAAAAGAAATCAAATCAGGCGATACCAATTTTTTTTTTTTAAAAAAAACAAACTAACAAACAAACACCAGCCCTCAACCCTCATCCCCCATCCCAGCCTCCCTCCTTTTAAAGACAAAAACAATTTTACCTCAGGAATCACAATTTCAAAACACCACCTGCAAAAAGAGAAAAACAGGCCCCAGGCCACAAATTCCCCCACTCACGTGCATTGGCCGAAAGGACAGTGTGGTCTGTTACAACTCAGATTCATGAGCAATATTAAGTACTAATAAATGGGAAGCAGGAAACTTTTTATTTGTAAAAAAAAAAAAAACCAGTAGCATCTTATGAAAAGTGAGCAGTAGCATGTCACAAACACTTGTATGAAAGAAAAGAAAGGTACCGTGGAAGAACGTACAATCGGCATGCACAACAAAAGGTTACACAAGGCCTGAATCCAACTCGAGCGTCCAACACAAAATCGAGCTCACATTTGGCAAAGACACAAAAAAATTAAATGTTACAGGGAAGAAAGCAGGACGAGTATTGGTTCACAAAGTCCAAGAGAGGAGGGATAAATTGGTGGCTAATGATCTCCGTGGCCAGATGTGTTTCCCCTTTTTGGTTTAATACAGCTTGGCTAGATGGGACGATTTTTGCACGACGCGTTTCCAACAGTAAGGACATCTACAAATTCTGGAGCTTAAAGGTTCTTTAATCAAAGGCAAAGGGGTTGCCCACCAGAAAAATGCAAAAGGCTGGAGACGCTTGGGATGAATTTCCAGAGTCTATAGGAAGTCCCCACGGCTACAACTGGCTTTGCAAATCAATGTTCTGGGCAACAACGGGTGCAAAGCCAGGCTTCTGAAGCGAGCAGCAGAAGCTCAGGATCAAGTTAAAAAGTGAAGAAGGACCAAGAGCAAGTCCCAAGGAGGTGGATTCTGAATTCACTCGGCGGTAGGATTCCTCCCCTNAAACCATGGGATTGGTGAAGAAATATTCCTAGGAATTTTAGGAGCTGGCTTACATTCCAACAATTCCTGGCTCACTCAGATTCTCCTAGCCAACTTGCTGAGACCGAAAAAGCTGCTTGGATGGCCAGTGAAAACGTCTCAAGCCAGCCAGAAAATAAATCCAGTCGCCGTGATTCAACTTTCAGACAAACTGCAGCAGAAGTAGAGTACAGACTCTTTATATACTCCGGCCACTTCGCTGGCAGAGAGGAAGCCAAAGGGAGGCTTGTGCACAAGACAGTAAAGAAATAGAAAACTCACTTTGAACGGTCTGAGAGAAAGCTTTCACCCAAGCATACATTTTGATGAATTTAACATAGTTCAGCACTTCATTCATTTTCTGGACGCGTTCATCAGTTATAGCCACGCATTTCCGTCTGAAATAAGCTGTAAACCGGGATGCAAACATCTGGAATTGAAAGAAAGAGCCTATCAGCCATAAGAGAACGTGCGGGCTCCTACAGCCAACGAACAATACAGGCAGTCCTCGATTTACAGTACAACAACAGTTCGGCTAGTGGCCGTTCAAAGTTACAAGTGATTTATGACTGTTTTTCACACTTACGACCATTGTGGCATCGTGGTCACGTGATCAAAAGTCAGACGCTTGGCAACTGACCCGTATTTAGGACGGTTGCCATGTCCCGGGGTCATGTGATCCCCTTTATTTATTTATTTATTTATTTATTTATTTACATGGATTTATATGCCGCCCTTCTCCCTATAGGACTCAGGGCGGCTTACAGCATATTAAAACACATAAAACATCGTCCCCCCATAAAAACCTATTAAAAACCAAATATTTTTTTTTTGCTGTATAATTAATTAAGATTTAAATTAAAATTGTCCCTATTTAAAAATTCTCCCTAGGCCAGACCCGCTTGTTGAAAAAGCCATGTCTTGAGGGCGCGGCGAAAAGGTAGGAGGTCCGGAATCGTCCGGATCTCGGGGGGTAGTTCGTTCCAGAGGGTGGGGGCACCCACAGAGAAGGCCCTCCCCCTG